TGGCAGGATGAGGAGCGCATGGCTGGCAGGAAGTGGAGGCAGCCCGTGGAGAACAGGGTTCATGCTAATAGTCCTGAATGTTCCCACTGTCTCCATTTGTTTTATTCACGTTAGTCAGGAGGTTGCCATTTTTTTCCATCTTGGCTGGGACTCTTTAGTGAACTCCTCATTTTATAAAAGGCCCTTTCTATAGAAAAGGTAAGTTCCAGTAAGAATGTTTCAAGTTTACTTAGTGACTAATACAGCCTGCCTCTGTAATTGCTGTAAATGCAAACATCTGTATTCCCTTGACCATTTACTCTAAATGCGTAGCTGTCCCAGAAAGTTTAAATATTTTCTCTGAACTTAGACTTTGAAGAGGCCCAGTTTACCTAGACTGCATGGGTGTAGAAAGGACATAGTCCTGAGTCTCTTAAGAAAGGGGAGAGAGAGAAAAAGAGAAAATAGGTTTTAAAACCTATTTAAATCAACCTATTTATACACTGCCGACCTTTTGGTTCGACTTTGGTTCGAGCCCACCAGCCGCTGCTTGGAAACCCTATGGGGTAGTTCTAGTCTGCCCTATAGGGTCGCTATGAGTTGGAATCCACTCGACGGCAATGAGTTTGGTTTTTTTTGGTTTGGAGTCCCTGGGTGGTGCAAACAAATAGTTAAAGCGGTCAGCTGCTAACTGAAAAGTTGGCAGTTTGAGTGCACCCAGAAACTCTTTGGAGGAAAGACCTGGCATCTACTTCCGAAAAATCAGTCACTGAAAACCCTGCGGAGCACAGTTCTACTGTGACATATGGGGTCACCATGAGTCAGAATTGATTCCATAGCAACTGGTTTATTTATGCACAGCGAGGAGCCCTGGTGGCACAGTGGTTAAGTGTTCAGCTGCTAACGGAAAGGTCAGCAGTTTGAACCTACCAGCCGCTCCGCGGGAGAAAGATGTGGCAGTCTGCTTCCATAAAGATTACAACCTTGGAAACCTTATGGGCCAGTTCTCCTCTGTCCTATAGGATTGCTATGAGTTGGAAACGGCTCGATGACAATGGGTTTTTGGGATCCTGATGACGCTAGTTACCGTGCTAACTTCTGGCTTGCTTCTTCGGGCTTATTTCTTCCCAGTATAAGGGGACTCACTGCCTTGATCCCACAGCGCCACCTAGTGGTTGATCTGAGAAGCTGAACTTCGCAGGAGAAAGACGTGGCAGTCTGCTTCCGTAAAATTTACAGCCTTGGAAACCATTTAGGGTTGCTGCGAGTCGGAATCGACTCAACTGCAAGGAGTTTGGTTTTTTGGGTCAGTTTTCCAATAATATCAACAACCAAACCAAACAAACCCTCACCTGTGAAACAGATATAAAACTGGTAAAGAAGGGCCTGTTTCTCTATTTTATCCTGTAAGCATAGTTTCCAGCCTCTTGTCTATAGCTACCCAATTAGGAAACCAAATGAAAATGACCAGAGAATATGAATCCAAGACTATTTGAAATCCTACTTGATACAGTACCTGATAACCCAAGGGTAGAACTGTGGGTGTATCTAACTACAAGGAGAAATGAAAAGAACCCATATCTGCATCAAAGCCCAGCCTCCATGGCAAAGATATCATACCACTGAAAAGTCACACTCTGTCTTGGGAATAGGGGCTTTTAATATATCTGTCTTTCTCCCTTCCCCTTGCTAAAGATTGGGCAATTCTTGACCAAGCTAGCTGCTTCACTGGGCTTTTGGAGATGTGTCTAATAGTGGGAAATGGATATATTTGTGTGTGATTCAAGGCCCCACCCCAACCCTGGCCCATGAATAGCCTAAAAAAGAACCAAGAACATTTTCATGGAACGGTGTGCCTGGGAGTGGCAACAATAGCACCATCAAAACGTGTGTGCTTCCTGATGGTGGTGAGACTGGCTTCATCTGGGCGGAAGAACTGCACAGGTCAGCCTTTTGGCCAATGTGGCTTCTTTCATGAAGGCAGGCACTGCTGTTTTATTGCTGTTTATTCTTCTCGAAAAGTTAATATGGCAGTAAGAGGGTTATCCAAACCAAAACAGAAAATTTTGTTGGTAGAATCAGTACAGGAACAGAATCAAAACCTCAAAGCAGGTGCTTGTGGGCAGAATCAGAAGGACTGAAATAAGAGAACCATTGTAGAAGTGTGTTTGAAGTGACAGAAATTGGTTGGTAGGCAGGTTGGTGGTTTGATGGATGAGTTCATTCCTCTGTGCTTACATGCATTGCCCTGGTCCTCACAGAGTGCAAGCTTCTGTAAAAGAGGAAGGATAGGGTTTGTATGAAGCAAGAAGGGACTTCAGAGGTCGCCTTGTGCCCTTCCTGGCAGGTAAGGACCTTTCAGTAGAGTGACTTGCCCAGGGTCATACAGATGATGGTGCAGCTGGAACTTGAACTCAGATCTGAATCTTTTCAGAATTTTTCCCACCATACCCTTTTAAACATCTTTCCTCTCTCATCTCTCTCACTGAATGCTCAATTTAACTTTTATTTTATTTTTTGCTTGAATTTCCCACCTCTCTCATTGTCCTTCACCATGTTTATCTCTCCTCAACATTGCACATTCTTCATCTTAAGAATAAATAAAATTACAAAAATTGTTGTCTCTATTTTGGTACCATTTCTCATCTTGACTTCACTTTTAACTGAACCAAGAATTTATGGAAGTAAAAAGAAATGAATTCAAGTGAATTACCTTTTCTTATCATACTGTAATAAGAAGCCCTGGTGGCACAGTGGTTACAGTGCTCAGCTGCCAACCAAAAGGTTGGCAGTTTGAACCCAACAGCCGCTTCTCAGGAGAAAGATGTGGCAATCTGCTTCTATAAAGATTACAGCCTTGGAAAACTGATAGGGGCAGTTCTGCTGTGTCCTATAGGGTCACTATGAGTAGGAATCAACGGCCATGGGTGGGTGGTGGGATCATAATGTAATACAACTTCTCTTGGCTCAATTGGAAGACACATCTCCAAGGGCACTTTGCTGTGTGTGAGGATATGAGGCCCGACCAGGAGGGAGCAGACCATCTCCACAAAGGACCTACTCGGTCATTGGAATCACTCATGGCTGCAGGAGACTGCCCTGCTCTGGCATCTCACTGAAGGTCCCACTTCAGAAAAACTGAAGATAATTTCTCACAGCAGAATTATTCATGTATTTCAGGGAAATTGTTATTTATTCACTCCACAAATATTTCTGAAACACTTTCTATGTGTTGGTCACTGAGTAGGGCTACTGTAGAGAGAAAAAAGGAGAGGCAATACAAAATGTCAGTCTAAAGACAGACCAAACATTTTCCTTTGGGATAAAGGATGTAAATTTATAGATATTCTTAATTAGGTTTTCAAAACTAGAATTAGCTCATAAGTCTATTTCAGAATCCAAAGAGTTTCTTTAGAGGGACAGCCTTATAAGAAATGGTAAATTACAACTCTTTTGGAGATCTGACAACTTAGCATTGCTTGATTTTGTAATACCGCCCCACTACCACCACAGATGCATGCACGCATACACACACACACAAATTGCTCCCCAAAGTGTTCAGAGATGTGCATCCTTTAAATAGAAGTCAAATTAATTCTTGAATAGATTCTCAGAGATTTTTTGAGATAATTATCAACACTAAACGCTGTTATAGTTTCTAGCATAATCTACTTTACAAATTCTATCAGATATGAAAAAATTACTGTTTCTCTTAAACAAATACATAATCCTTTCCAAGACAATGCAAAGCTAAAATCATGCATCCCAGTTACAACCCAGTTAAATCGTTCCACAAAGACAGCTCTCTCCCCTCTCCTCAGATATTCCTTTTAGTGAAATGTTCCAGTGTTGGTGTCAAAATTCTGGGACCCAAGAAATGCCTTGGTATCTGATCTCTGCATTCACTGAAGCCCATCGTCCCCCTCGCCCATTTTTCTCTATGCTCAGAATAGCTGACAGTTTTTACCACATTCTTGTATACATTAAACTGTTATCAAGCCTTTTACCACTCCTCAAATTCTTCTATACAAACCAATATTTGTCTTTTTTAAATTCCTCCTGAGACCTATTGCTCTGTCTTTAAATCATCCTTAGGATTCTTTCGAAGTCATCCTTATGGAACTTCAATTTCAATTAAATCTTCGCATTGCAAGGCTTTCAGCATAACACTATACTCCAGCCAAGGCAAGGATGTCAGATATGCTGGGGAGATAAATTTATCGGCCCTAAACACAAGTTCCTGTTTTTACGTAGCAGCAGCAGACTTGCTAACTCGTCTAATTGTGAAGTTCCTTGAGCCCTGCGCGAGCCTATTTGCCTGTTTTGCATGTGAAAACTAGCCCTTTCCTAGTAACTGTCAGAGACAGCATCTAATGAAAGTTTTAATATCTTCTGGTAATGACACCTTCACAAAATCTTGATTTTGATTCATTTTGGAGATAGTTCTTCAGTGGGACTTCAAAGATGTGGACTGCCATATGGATTTATAGCAGGAATGTCAGAGCCTGGTGGCTGCGAGGAGAAGGGGTATTCTAAAGACCCTGTTGTCACCAGCAACTCCTCCCCCAATTTTATTTTACATTTTTTTGGTTTGGAAAGTCATCTTTTTTCAATCTTCTGTAATGTACCCTGCAAAGGCAAGACTTCAAACCCTGCCTTCCTGTCAGATTGCTGCCCTAAGCATTTCGTATATTGAATATCTGAACTAGCACTGATCGTTGGTCACATTATTGCTCAAGATCAGTCTACTGTTATTAAAATGTGGGCCCCGAATGCCTGCCTTGAGACTGAAATGTGTAAGTGTTTTGAGATATTTAGGTGCAAAATACGAATATGTTTCTTCTCTTTGATTCATATGAAATATGAGGGATTCTTCATACCATTCAGAGTTGTGGAGAGCTGGTAAACCTGCTCCCTTTTATTCAATTACCAGTTCACATTCTGAAAGTGCTTTGATTTTGTACAGTCCTCTCTTACTGAAAATGTATTATAATATTATTTTTTTGTATGTCCTCTTGCAGCCTGTCACATACTGGAATGCCGCAATGGAATGGCCCAAGATGTCATAAGTACCATAGGGCAGGCTTTTGAACTCCGGTTTAAACAATACTTGAAAAATCCTTCTTTGAATACTTCCTGTGAAAGGTCAGCCAAGAGTTCTATAATTATTTGACTTGCTATGTTTTGGTTTTCTTTTTAAATCTATATGGCATTTGTTAATTGATTAATGAAATTAGTCATTTTTTTTTCTTACAAATAGTCGTAGTTTCAGTATAAAATAATAGTGAGATTTTCTAACTTTATTCCGTTCATATTCATCCAGATATTTTCTTTTGCTTTATACGGAGATTTAAGGAGACGCTAAAGAGAAGGGAACAGCCTTGCTTCTCTAATGTGACACAGAGCTATGAATGAATTAAGCAGCATCATAAAATAATAGTCATTCACCGGTTTCTCAGATTTCTTTCAACCCCCAGATCCCTTACATATCAGTAAAAGGAAAAAAAAATCATGAACAAAGAGCAAAATAATAGGAATCAAATGTCTATTGCAGGAATTTCTGTTAGGCCATGCCGTTTTGCAATGTGTAAGTAGATCAGTACAACTAAACTGTGGCAGCGGGTAGAACACGACGTGATCCAAGGGTCTGGTTGTTCTGTGTAAGGCACAGAAAGTCCAGAATGAAAGCTGACCCCGTTTTGGGCCTGTCAGCCTCCACCATGTGTGGAATGCAACGAGGCTTCTGGCTCGCACAATGCACGGCTGAGAAGCTGAGCTCTTGGGCACTTTTAAGTGCATTTTTTCCCTGAGGTGTTATTTTCTGTATCAGCGAACACCGGTGTGGGTATCTTCCTCTATCAAGTCGTCTTGGGTAGCCAAGGAGAGGGGTTACCAGGGCCCTGATGCTGATGTTTTCCTGGGAGAGCCTTGCATCTTGTGCTGTCATTTTGTTGGCGTGTAATAAACCCGGCAAAACTACGTGGGTTGTCAGTGGAATCAGTTCAGTCCAAAAGGACTTGATTTATTCTTTTTCATAAGAAACTCTTACTAATTCCAATTTGAAAGAAAAGTCCATTTGTTTTTCTGCCCTGTTTCGATTTTAAAACAATTGCATGTTTACATAAATCTACCTACTTGCCACATATGGTTCTAATATTTCTTTATGAATCCCATATACTCCTCCAGATTTGTGCAGACAAGATAGCTGGCTGTAGTGCTCTTATTTTTTTCGTCTTGGTTTAATAAACTGGGCCAGGCCTTCTATCCAAAGAACAATATCAAAATTTTCTTAGAGCAAAACATATCTTAAATGGGACAGTCAGAGTGTCCTGGAATACCCAGGAGAACATTGTGTTTTTATGATCCTATGACAAAAATGGCTTAAATTTAGGGAGTCTGTATTTTTTTTATCATGAAGGGGAGACACTAACACATCACTCTTGGCGCTTTTTGTTGGCTTACCCTACTTTCATTGCCTAAGGAAAGCTGAACAACTCAGCCATCACAATCCAGATGTTTGACATCACTTAAGCACAGCTATAAACTTAAAACATGAATGCAAAGTTTCTCTGGATGATTTGCACGGTTCTGATCCCTCTGCATCCCCTACAGCATTTGAATTCCCGCCCAGCCTCTTGGGGATTCTTTTTTCCCTTACAGTGAGGAGGTGCATATTGATGGCAGTGCGGAGGAGAGAGATCATGAGTATTACAATGAAATCCCAGGGAAGCCGCCACCTGCAGGTGGTGTTTTGGATGTGCAGATGAAAGTTCAAGCCACAGAGCAAATGGCTTACTGCCCAATACGGTGTGAGAAGTTGTGCTATTTGGTAAGTTATGTTTTATTGTTACTGGAGCCAACAATGTTATTCTGCCCTTATCACTACAGTGTTTAATTTGAGGGTTTCCAAATGCTAGTTTAGAGAAAGTCCCATCTTCCTCAAGTGTGGAGCCAGAGAGCGAGTCACTGTCGGAACCTATACTAGATTAGATCATTTTTATTCCTAATTTCCTAGCCTCTGGCTCAGCCTCCACCTCAGCCGATGACCTCGTTTCTCACTTCCCTGGTAAGACTCGGGTGATGCAACATGTTGCCTTCACCTTCACCCTTCCCCATCTCCAAGTCTTCTATGTTCTCCTTGCTTTTCTTCTTTAGCTACTGTCTCCAAATCTGATCTTTCCCTTGTGCTCCTGATCTTGTCCCCTCCTGCCCCTCTATATCATTGTTCTGTCCATCAACCACTGCCTCATCCTTTAGTCTCTCTTTTTCTACTGGTCTTTCCCGTCTGTCTGCAAATAAATGTAGACTCCACCAACCCAACTAATAATGTCCCACATCTATTTCATCTTCTTTTCACCCACAAATTTGTAGAATGTGTTTCTCTCTCTCTGCTTTCACTTCCACACTATACTTCTAAGATCTGAACTCTGCCTGACAACTTGATTGAAATTATTTTTACAATGATCACCAACGGCTTAATTGCCAAATCCATTCCCTTTCTAAATTTCCCGACTCTGTCTGCAGTATTTAACACCTTTTGGCTGCCTATTCTTTTCTGAGACTTCTTCCACTGACTTCCAAAACAGTTCTACCTTATGAATCTCATCCTGCATCTCTAGTTGCTGTTTTTCTTTCTTTTTCATTTTTTCCTAACATTTTGTTATGGATATTTTCAAAAATACAGAGAAGTTGAAAATTGTACACTGAATACCCATATAGCCACCATCTAGATTCTATAATTGGCATTTTACTATATTTGTTTGATCACATATCTAGTTATCTATTATCTCAGTATCCATCAATCTGTCTTTATTTTTGATACACTTCAAAGTAAGTTGTATCTTTTCATATCATGTATTCTTCCATTCCCTGCCGCACAAACCCATGCCCCATCTTACCATCCTGTAAGCATTCCCCAAGGCTCTGCCCTTGGCCCTCATCTCCTCTGGTGTTCTACCTGTGTACACACTCTTCCAGCTTCGGTGTTCAGTCCTTACTTATCTCTCCAGCTGAAATGCCGTATTACAGCACATTGCTTGTTTGAATCCAAGGTTGAACTCACCATTTTCTCCTGGACTCCAAACTACATTCCTCTATTGATTTCCCCATCTTTATTAATGGCTCTACCATTCTTTCACTAATCCACACTCTTTTGTTTTTTTCTCACACTTTGGGCCCCATCTCAGTTCATTCTTCAAGGCCTAGGATTCTGCCATGAAAATACCTTTTGAAACCACCCTATCTTCTTCCATTATTATTGCCACTTTCTAAGTTCTGGTTTTCACTTGCCTGGATAATTCTGAAGCCCCTTCCCTGTCTCTAATTTTTTTCTCTCAAAGCCTTCTGCAAACTAATGTCAGATTAATCTTTCTAAAGCGTAGACACTGCCATTCCCTTACCAAAGAGGGCTGTATGTATAGGAGTGATGGAACCCTTTGACTGGATGATATTTTCAAGGATGAGAAGTAAGCCTGGCACAAACCTCTGTAGAGTTAGGGCTCCGATCTGCCCGTTCAGTTAGATGGGCATTTGCCATTTGGCCAGTGTTTACACAAGCGTCCTGGAAACCACACTTTCTGGCTGAGACTTGGGTTGAGTCCCGGAATGTGACCTTCCAAGCAGAAGCAGTAACCCTCAAGCCTTATACTAGCAGCCCTTTACGAACCACCGCCCCCCACAACCTACTCCCACAACCAGACCCACCTCAGCAGCTCCAAAGCAAAGCACTAGGATGGAAGTGTAAGCTCCCCACCCAAAATCTGAATGTCCTTTTCTTACCTGTGAGATACTTCCTGCGTCAGAAAGTGAACCACTCTCCTGTATTCTGCTGGGAGTTTTATTAATGCTTTTTTTCCTTCTTTGTTTAAAGGTTATGAGTGTGTACTATCTTTGTAAATGTTTTGCAATTTGTTGTTCATACAGCCTGGAAACTCCAAGTGCAGCAGCGTATACGAGAACTGTTTAGAACAAAGCAGGGCAGTAGGTAGGTACAGTCACTCTCCTCCGTCTGCCCCCCTGCTCATTCCTTTTAAGTCATATGGACACATGCGGCCCTTGCTCTTAAATGCTTCATGGCACAGTTAGTTATAATTGAACATATAACCCTTAGAAGGCTCACGGTTCTCTCTTGCTCTTATGTGCCCATCATGCTTATGGTTCTTCTTTATGGGGTCTTTCTCTGTTTTGACATCATGAAAGCTCTTTTGCCGAAGAGGTGATTTCTCTGCTCAAATCTCAAGGAAGTTCCAGTTCCTAGAAGTTTAGACAGTAGACTAACATGAAAACAGATGTCTGTAAAATCTGTTAGGATTAGATTAAGCTTTATTCCAGCTTGGCAAAGGGAACAAAAGGCAATCTGAAATGTGAGAGTCCCAATTAGGGGCCCATCCACCCCATACTTGCTAGGGCATTGAACGTCTCATTACTGCATATGATAATTGATATTGGGCGCAAATTTTCCAAAGCACAAGTGTAGAACATCAACTCTCGATTGGAAATGTATTTTAATAAAAACAGATTATACTGCTAGATAGTCATTTCATTTTTACAAGTTATTGAAGGCATTTATTTCTTTGGGAAAGGAAGTGTTGCAGTTTTAGAAGGCGCAAGGACTAAACAGCATAAATAATGCAGTGGAGGATAGAGCTGGATAACCAAATTTAAGGACTCAAATTAAATTAGTCAGAACTTGCCACCTAGAAGGTAGTCAATTCCAGGGATACTTTTAAATATCTTATGGAATTATGCCAATGTTGTATTAATTGTATTACTTTTATATAGTAGGAAACGTGAGAGTTTACTGTTCTTGGTATAGCTATGATTACCACCCTCTTTTACCCTGCAAAGACCAATAAGAGCAGTGAGCTAAGGCAGTATTTTAAATTCTTTAAATAGATGGCTCCTTTTGATAGAAATTAAAATTCCATGCCATTCTTTAAAGTTATTTGTTTTTAATATGATTATCAATAACATGACTAAAACAAGTTAAATTGATGGTAAATGTGAATACTCTTTCTAAAACCATGCTCTCCGGGGGCCATAATTCAGCTTTCCCTCCTTTCCCTAACCCTGGAAATCCTGAACCTAAGGATTTGATCAGCAGGAACACACCACACATGCCCTGTGGTGTTATAACCATTTTCTACCCTTGCTGTAGCTCACTTGACCACATTTTCACATGCTGTTTTATCTCATTCATATATTCTTCATTCATTCAACAATTCACTCAGTGGCTTTTTATTAAGGACCTTCTGTGAGTCAAGCACAATCCTAGGTGGTAAGGATAGAGACACCTTAAACAAATGCTTACAAATGTGGTGAGTGTTTCAAAGAGGCAAGCCCAAGATGTTATGATAACAAGCAACAGGGAAACCTGACTTAATTTGGGGGGTTATAGAGGTCTCCCTCAGGAAATAACCAAGCCAGTTGCCATCAAGTTGACTCAATGGTGACCCCATGTGTGCAGAGTAGAACTGCTCCATAGGGTTTTCAAGGCCGTGACCTTTCAGAAACAGATTGCCAGGCCTCCCCAGGTACCTCTGGGTGGTTGGGAATTGCCAACCTTTGGCAAGTGCTTAATCATTTTTGCTACCCAGGGACCTAACAACCAAACCAAAACCCGAGAGATGAGTGGAAATGATCTGGACACAGAGAAGGTAGTGGAGAAAAAGGGGAGAGGTAGAGACAGTGACAGAGAGTGAATGAGTACCAGAATCTGTAAGTGCACCAGAACCAGTTCCTAGATCGTTTGTACCAAGAGAGCACAGGTGGAAGAGGGGAGAGAGGAACCTTGTGCCTGGGACAGAGTCCTGAGGAACTCCAACATTTTCAGCAGTCCAAAGACTGCCCTTCCCAGCTCTTCTCTCTCATCTCTGCTAACCTCTGTCCTCCTGTCTTCAGTCGCCCAGCTTCTGGAGGAGACCTACTGGGGTCCAGGAAGGATAAAAATCCTTGACATTCAGTACATATGTTAATATCCTAAATCATAGGACTATCACTGCAGAAAAGGAAGCATCGTTTCCTTTCTTCCATTTTATTTTTCAAGAGCTCTCATCTTGATTTTTATTTTACGTTTTAAAAGCACCCTTTCAAAACAAATTTTTGAAGGTATAACATGGATGTGGAGGTACCATTTCAACCTTATTCAAGATTTTTTTTAATAGGCGTAGGCTTATCATATAATCCAGTTTATTTTGTTTCTGTTTACCTCAGTTTTATTTATTCTTTAAATCAACAAACAGTGTAGACCCTTGTTCTTACTTGGTTTATACTTGGCCTAAGCCAGTATAAGCAGATCTAAACTCATGAACAGACTTTGTAATAAAAGTTTGTTTGGAGCCTGGAATATATTTTCCCATAGAATTTAGTTTAATTCTTAGACAAGCTCAGCATATTCTTCTATTCTGTTTAGCCTGCACTGGAGCTTAAGCGTGTATTTTATAACAATACATACAATAGAAAGTCTTTTTGCAAGTGTCTTGTTCTTCAGTTAGACTGTAACTGTGGGGTGGTCTGGGACCAAAACAGAGCTTTGGCATACTATTTTCTGTAAGGTGCCTCTGAGGTAAAGATTTGTAACTGGGAGCCTTTCAGAATCTTGGGGAGGTGAGAGGTGGTGTTCGTAGTTTGGAAAAAGCCCCCCAGCTGGAAATACTCCGCTCGTGTAAATCACCGAGCTACAATACTGTTCCCTTAGAAAAGCTGTCTGGGTTCCATTGGGGAACCAGAATACTAGGAAGCCCCCTCCCCTAATCCTCAGCCACCAAAAGTGTGGTGGTATAGGACTCAGAGTCCCTGGGTAGAGCAAATGCTAGGCACTCAGATACTAACTGAAAGGTTGGTGGTTCAAGTCCACCCAGAGGCACCTTGGCAGAAAGGCCTGGCAATCTGCTCCTGAAAAATCAGCCATTGAAAACCTTTGGTGCACAGTTTTACTCTTAACACACATGGGGTCTCCGTAAGTCAGAAATGACTTGATGGCAACTGACGGATAGGACTTAACCTCTACTCTGGAGACTCTGACAAGTAAGTTCCCTCCTGTTGTGGCAGGAAGGACTTCCCTAGTACAGTGGTCTTTCATCCACAGACATCCATACGTCAGGTGTTCCTCCCTTGGGGCCTGCCTGTGACTACTTGGGCGTATGTTTGAAAAGTGAGCTGATATTCTCGACCAATGAGTAAGAAAATTAATAGCAGTTACCAAAATAGCAAATAAACAGTTTTTGTGGCTTTTCCCAGAGATTCATACATAAGTATGTGAGGGACACCTATACAAATATTTTTTAAAAGACTTGGCTTTTTCTTCCTAAGACATTTATTTTTTCAAATATTGACTTAAAACTTGAATTCCAGTGTATTATAAATACTGCAATAGGCTTCTGGTTGTTGAAGGAGTTAATTGTATTTATTGCCAGGCATATAAAAGATCCCTATCCTTAATACTAAATTCACTTAGGGGAAAAATAATTAGCAAAATAGCATAACGTTTCCCCAGCCTTCAAGTTAAAATGGAAATGTTGATATTTTTAATCAAAAAGACGTTACATTTCCACAAACCCTAAGGGCTTGCACTTAAAATTTTTGGTACTTACAGTACATACACTGTCTGTGTATGTATTTACTTTCTACCACAAATCTTCTCTTAGGCAGGTTGAATAGGTTCTTGGAGTAATACTTGGCAAAAAGAACTTTTGGAATGCAGAATGGCTGGGCTGTGTGGTTAAGTTCTCGCCATCCACACACTTTAACCTAGAATAATTTTAAATTTGGGGACAGGGTGGGGTATCTTTTTTTTTCATTTAACACAACATTGCTGACTTAATTATAATGGCACATTTGACAAAAGAAGTGGCAGTTTTCAAGAGAGATTGGACACAGACAATGACAACTTTGTCATTTGATCCTATGGGATGGCCAACTCATGCTAATGCTTTGTGAGGGGCAGATGAGTCAGTGCCCTGTGAGTCGGGGCTAAAGGCTGATTCAGGGTCTTGAGAACATGATGGGGTCAGATATGCTAGGAAAGGAAAACTGGGTAGACCTTCAGTCATCTGTTCATTCAGCTGACAAACATTTTTCTTTTGAGCACCTGCTTCATACCAGGTGCTGAAGACACAGAAGATACAAAGATAAATGGGTGCTGGAGCTACGGCTGCTAACCAAAAGGTTGGCAGTTCGAATCCACCACCTGCTCCTTGGAAACCCTATGGGGCAGTTCTACTCTGTCCTATAGGGTCTCTGTGAGTCGGAATCAACTTGATGGCACCGTGTTTGTTTTTTTAGTCTCTCCTCAAGGACCCAAGGAATTTGCAGTGTCAAGGGGAAGACAGACAAGTAAACAGATAATTCAGTGTATCATGGAATGGTACTTTATCCAACCTGAGGGAGGGAAGGACTCAGGGGAAGGCTTCCTGAAGGACAAATAGGAGTTAGGTGAAGAAAAGGATCTTGCAGCAAGATAAACATGTGCAGAGGCCCAGTGTCAGTGGATTAATAAACAGCTAGCAGTGATAGCAAGTATTTGTTGATGCCTGCTATGAGGCAGGCACCATGCTCAGTGTCTGACAGACATTTAACGCTCACGCCTGTATTATAAACTAGGCAGCCCCATTTTACAGATGAGAAAATTGAGTCTTAGAGAGGTTAAGTAACTTGTCCCAGCCTACCCCAGTAGAGGTACTAATGGGATTTGAACTCAGGTCCATCAGAATTTAGAAGGAGAGTGCTTAGCTATTTGCAAACACTTTTGATTATACTTCTCTTTCAGTAAATTTTTATACATAGGCACTCCTAACTAAATGCTTAGTAAATCATTTATAAGTTACATACACATACACTGAAACCTTATGCATGTATTATAAAGCATACAAACTAGAAATTTTTAAAGTTTGAGTTAAAGATAAATAGTTTAAAAACGTCTTGCTAATCAAAATGGCCAAATACTATCATTAGATAATATCTCAAGACATACAATTTAGGGCATTT